TGCCGGCTGCAAGTTTGACATGCTTGACCTACATGTACTCTGATTAGAAGCTGGACCCTCAGGCAGCAACCAGGATAGGATGTAGTTAGGGTCCTTCCAGGGAGAAATGGGGAGATGTTTTGCCTGCTCCTCTGTACTGCTGTAGCCTCTGAGGGGCTCCTGCACCATTAATAAATTAGGTTGCTATGGTCTGTGGGACTCATGAATACAAGTCTCATTGGCTATCAAAGCCAGTAGATCTAGATATTCATTGGGTGACAGAGGCAAAAGTGGGCTGCCAGATGTCTATACAAGCTCCTTGCATGGAGATATTTGTAATTACGGGTGAACTCAAGTGAGAGGCCTCATGAGGTGCCTGCTGGCCTCTCCTGACTCCAGGGAGATGTGATAAGTACGCATGATGTATTTTCATGTTTGTACAACATATAGGTGTCACTCTGCTAGTTCCTAGAATTCTCTCAGAGGAAACTGCTCTCCGTGTAGCTGCAGAGACTTTAAATGTTGCTACAGGTCAAAGGAACCCCACAGCTTAGCTAGATGCACCATGTGAATGATAGGAATGTTCAGTGACCTTCATATTGAAACTAAACAGCATCATAGTAAAGTTATAATTTTAAAGAATGGTCTAAATATTGTATAGTCTGCATGGACAAAGTCTGAAAAGTTATATCCTATTTTCTTTTACCTGTAAAAGCACCATTTCAATAAAACCCTTTATGACAATGCCTTTTTTTGGAAAGTACTGTACAGTTTGATTTTGGAAAGTTTTAGTTATTATTTTTAAAGAATGAAAAAACAAATAATAAATTTAAAACACAAGGGACAAAAAAAGGTATGAGTATGCAGTTTTAACAAAATATCCAGGAAACATTTGCTCATCTACATTTCATTTTTTTTTTTGAGAAGAGTACACTGAACAATGAGAAATTACGCCAGTATCGAAAGTAATGACATTATAAATATTGGCAAGGATTAGGGTGTAGGACGTGGCTATAGGGTTAAGCCTCAGACTGACCTGTTGGCAAAGCCACAAACAAGTCCCAGTTTAGAGGGCACAGTCCTCTTAGCATAATTAGGCTTGACTTTATGACCTCCTTAGATCTTATCTGGGAAGCTAATGGGCTGAGGAAGACATAGCAAGTGCTGCCAAAACAAGTGAAACTCACAAGTACACTGTAACTATGGTGACCAATACCTTGTTTACCTCTAGCTATAAAATAAAGGCTCAACTTGCCTCTGATCTCTGTGGCCTCAGCCAGGCACAGGAAGATCCACCTAGACCCAGCTTATTCTCTTTGTCTGTCGTTTCTTTATCCTTCACTGCCCTCCCTCAGGCTTGCAGAACCTTTGGCTGAGCTGGCCCCGCACATGCACATTAGGGATCACATGTCAAAATTATTTTCAAACAAAAACTGACTTCAATAGAGACTTAAATAGGTGAAAATGAGCTATTCAAGAGGGTGTCAGCCCTGTTGTACCTTCTCACTGTAATTAATGTGCTCAGTGGAGAACTTGATAAGGTGATAATGGAGTCCCTCACAGCAAATCACACATAGCACTTTCTAATGAGACATTAATTTTACAATATGATTTCAGGTGTCATATGTAAATAAGGCCATAAATATGGTCAATAAAATGTAACTGTACATATATAATTCATATATATATATATATATATATATATATATATATATATATATATATATATATATCTCATAGTACTATTTCACGGACATTCCAAACCATTATACCAGACTCCTGAATATGAACTACCCTTAACTTCTAGCCATTAAAAAGTGACTCAGAGGAAGTATTTAGGAAACTGTAACAAAGTTTTACAGAAGTGAGAGAGAAAGATACATAGTGTTTCCAGTCATAATTCTTAGGGAAATAAAACATTAATGACTAATCTAAAATACTTCTACAGAAAACCTGCTTTAAATGAACAGAAGTGATTGTGTAGAACTATAATGATAAAGAATAAAAAGTGAATACAGAACTGCTATGTGGCTTCCTTCCAAGAATCCATATTAGTAATTAAAAACATTATAAATAGTCATATAAAATTGTCTAACTACTGTGTACTGGCTCTATTTCATATATATTTCATATATATATGTATATATATATATCACCAAAAAATATTTCTCGCAAAAATACACATGATAAAGGAAATCAATCTCATATAACATGCATCTTTCCATGGGAATTAAAATATTGAGTCTCTTAAAAAAAAAAAAAAAGCAAGTACTGAAAACAATGGAGATTTTCCCCCCAAAAATAAGAGTATGATTACTTTAAGGTCCAGCAATTCCAGGTTTTGGTATATATCCAAAAGAATTAAAATCATGATCTCAATAAAATATTTTCACATCCAAATTCATAGCAGCACTGTTCACAACTCAAAAGTGGAAGCAACCTAAGAGCCCACTGATGGAAGAATCAATAAACAAAATGCAGTATTTACATACAATGCAATTTTACTCAGCCTTAAATTGAAGGAAATTCTAACACATGCTATAACATGAATGGAGCCTGAGAATATCGTGTTAAATGAAGTGAGCCACTGACAAAATGCAAATACCATATGATTCCACTTATATTATGTATCCAGACTGGTTTAATGAAAAGAAACAGAAAATAAAATCATGGTTACCAGGGACCAGTGATGAGGGAATTATTGCATAACAGGTACAGTTGCACTTTTGCAAGATGAAGAAGTTCTATAGCTTGGTTGTACAATAATGTGAATGTATGTATTACTGAATTGTGCACTTAGGAACTGTTAAGATGGTAAATATTATGTTATGTATATTTTAGCACAACTTGTAAAAAAAAAAAAAGAAGTACTCATAACTCCAGATAATACTTGATTTCTCTCATTAGTTGTTTGAAAGCATTCCTTTCAATGGCATTTGCTATGCTGCTATTACTCTTTTGTGATGGAGCAATTTTTTTTTTTTTTTTTTTTACAGGAGATGGAAGAGTTTGTCCAGAGCTCTGGAAAACATGGTATTGTCGTGTTTACTTTGGGATCAATGGTCAGGAACATATCAGAAGAAAGAGCCAATGTGATTGCATCAGCCCTTGCCCAGATTCCGCAAAAGGTTAGAGTGACCCGTGGTTGGCAAACCCCGGCTCGCGAGCCACATGGGGCTCTTTGGCCCCTTGAGTGTGGCTCTTCCACAAAATACCACATGGGGGCGGGCACGTACAGTGCGATTGAACTTCGTGGCCCATGCGCAGAAGTTGGTATTTTGTGGAAGAGCCGGTATTTTGTGGAAGAGCCACACTCAAGGGGCCAAAGAGCCGCATGTGGCTCGTGAGCGGCGGTTTGCCGAGCCGCAGTTTGCCGACCACTGGAAGCACCTTAATAGTGCACAACTATCTAGGTGCTAATTACATAAATTTCCTGTGTGATATGTAAGCCATTATGATAGCTCCTATTTATCTCAGCTATGAATTCAAATCAAAATATACTAGGCAGGAGCTAAAATAGTAGTACAAAATGTTGTGTTTAACAGTAACTCGGCAGAAATATTGTGATCAGAATGAAATGTATTTAAGAGGTACAGAGTAAAGTTTGGTGTTATAGTGATACTAGTGACCCATCGCATGAAATTGCCGGAGACCCGGGACCCCTCCCCCCGCCCCACCATGGGACCTTACCCAAACGCTCTGAGCACAAACCCCTGCACTTGCTACTGGGATCAGGTTCATGCGGGCGGCCCTCTTGGCTACACCCCCTTACGCCCCCCTACACCCCTCACACTGGTCACATCATTTCGCTTATTCACATTCTGCTCCCGACCACCCAGCAATGCCTTAAGCCATGCCCTGGCTATGCCCCCTAAGGGCACGTCAGCTTTGCTCACAGCCTCTTTCACGGTCAAGCACCTGCCCTCTGCCTGGGTTCAAACCTCCTTCTAGCAGGACTTTCTTGGGAATGCCTCTGAGGGCAGCAAAGCTACGCCCTATGGACTAGGTGTACCCTCACGTTCAGGGTACGTCATTACGTACACTACTCCATGGCCCCTCCTCTCTATCAGTGTGCACCCTCATTCTGCTGACTCCACATCTGTCCCTTGTGCCCATGTCCCTGCTTTTAACTCTAATAATATCTGTACCTGAGTTTACTCCTCCCGCAATCTCTGGGCTAGGCCAAGGCCACACCCCTACCCACAGGGCCAGCGCCTGCACTCCTTCCCACTGTTCCAGGCTTTGGCCCTCCAGTCTGAGTCTCGGAGTCCCGCTCCACGTGACGGGCGTGCCACAGGATGGCCCCGAGTCCTGGAGTGCCACCCCAATGCCCTGCCTCCGGGCATGTGGGTGGGGCCATGAAAACCCCGGCAGAAGCAGTGCGAAGCAGATGCCAGCCCCACCTCCGCTGTGCATGCTGCCATCTTGTGACAGCGTTACAGCGTGAGGGTTAATTTGCATATTACCTCTTTATTATATAGAATTGCAGGAGGGCACCAAAATCACCAAACTCTGCCCTGTCATTTGCTCCATCTCATTGCAGAATTCCTGAAGACATGGTACAAATTACATGTCCTCAGAAATTCTAACAGTGATGTTAAGCAGGAATTGATGGCAGTCTGAAAGAAGTCATGCCATTTTAGGTTTGCTAAGTAATCCAGGTCACTCTTACTTCCCAAATTTTCAAAATAGGCCTATTCAGTGTGATTTCTGGGTGCTATTCAGAAAAAGAATAGCCAGGACTCACTAAGCTGGATCCAGGTACCCAAGCCAGCCACAGTGATCTAGAGAAAGAAAAGCTGTCATGATCTGGTTGATTGGGTCCTATAAAAGTGGAGGAATAAATTAGAAAGGGGGGAGGTGGATCCACCCTTAAGGTGACGTGTGCTTTATAAAATACTAGAGGCCCAGTGCACGAATTTGTGCACAGGTGGGGTTCAGCCTGCCTAGCCCCAATTGGGGCAGATCGGGCTGGGCCTGTCGGAGGAGGAAACAGCAGAAGGTTGACCGGCCCGCCCGCCCTGATTGGGACCAATCAGGGCTGGGCCGGCTGGGGTGAGAAGCCATGGACAATTGCCTGGTGGGCTCCGACCCCAATTGGTGTGGGGGACAGCTATCGGGGGCAGAGCTGGCTGGGGAGAAGGGTATGGGCCAATTGGTTTGGGGCCAGGTGGAGGGAGAGACTACAGAAGGTTGGCCAGTGGCCCCACCCCCTATTGGAGTAGTGGGGGGCAAGCAAGGGCAGGGAAGCTGGGGAGAGGGGCTGCGGGAGGTTGGCCAGCTGGCCCCACAACCAGATCAGGCCAGTTTGCTGGCTGCAGTGGGCGTCATAGTGAATGGTCGTTCTGGTCATTACAGCGTTCCGGTTGCTGGCTTTTTATATATATAGACTAGAGGCCTGGTGCACAAAATTCATGCACTTGTTCGGGGGTGGTCCCTCAGCCCAGCCTGAGCCCTCTTGCAGTCCAGGAGCCCTCGGGGGATGTTACAACTGACAGCTTAGCACTGTCACAGAGGCGGGTGAGGCTCCCGCCACTGCCACTGCACTCGCCAGCCATGAACCCGGTTTCTGGCTGAATGGCCCTCCCCTGTGGGAGCGCACTGACCACCAGGGGGCAGCTCCTGCATTGAGAGTATGCCACCTGGTGGTCAGTGCACGTCATAGCAACCTGTCATTCTGCAGTTTGGTTAATTTCATTTTAGCCTTTTATTATATAGGATGGCTGCCAAAAATCTCTGCTTCTAACCCATCAGAATAAGAACTCCTCCTGGTTGAAGAAGGATTAGGGAATATAATGAGGAGTCCATTAGAAGTAAGCCCAGTATGGAAAAGTTCACCCAACCAAGATGGTGGCTGGAAGCCACGGAGCTGGAGCAACCAGGAGGCTTGGTTGCCCCGGCGATGGAGGAAGCCAAGCTTCCCCACCTGCCCTGGCTGGCTGTTGTCTCCGCTAATGGCAATAAAACAGAGTAGTAAGATATTTTCCAATATCTTTATAGAATACACCTGCAGTCTTTGGGCATTTATGAACTACTTTTTAGTTTCCTAGCTGATGTAATTTCTGTTTATAGCCTGTGTTAATAATTGCTGAAAACCTGCTGCTACTTTAAAATTTACATAACAAATAAATGTTGAGCACTAGTAAATTATAATCCAGCTTATGTGAACTGCTGATATTTATGAGAATTCCAAAATCAGAATCTATTTTGTTCCTGGCTATAAAAATAGCTTGGCTACAGGTCCCATAGTAATCAGTGCTGTCCATGTACATAGTGTGTCATTGAAGTGTTAACACTTAGTTGAAAAAACTTTAGCATCATCATAATTTTGGATTTTTTCAGCACCTATACTGTAATAAAGTGCTAACCGGCTCTTCTTTTTTACATTTAAAAAATTTCCAACCCTAGACATAGTGATAAATCATTGGTTCATGGGGATCAAAAAGCTGTGGTACATTTACACAGTGGAATACTACTCTGCCATAAAAAAGAAGAAAATCTTACCTTTGGGGCAGCAAGGATGGACCTAAAGAGTATTACACTAAGTGCAGTAAGTCAGTAAGAAGAAGACAAATACCATATTATTTCACTCATATGTGGAATCTAAATACACAAACAAACAGAAAAGAGACAGACTCATAAATAGCAACTGACAGCTCTCAGAATAGGGGTAAGGAGGCTGGTGGGAAGAGGGGAGTGGCGGGATTGAGAAAAAAAAGGAAAATCTCATGGACACAGACAACAGTGTGATGATTTCAGAGGGGATGGGGATGAGGAGAGGTGGAGGAGGGTATAGGGTGGATAAATGGTGATGGGCAGAAACTTAATTTTGCTTGGTGAACACACAATACAGTGTACAGATGATGTGTTGTAGAATTACACACCTAAAACCTGTATAATTTTGTTAATCAGTGTCACCCAATAAATTCAATAAAAAAGAAAAAGTATATAAGTAAAAAATAATTAGTGACTTTAAATAGAAAAATAAAACAGAAAAAATGTGAAAATAAAGTTAAATCTTTGATTTAAAAAAATAACTTATGAGACAAGTGGATAGAAGAAAACTTCCTTCTGTGACACTTAAAAATACAGGTTAATATTACATTGCAAAATGAGAGAAATTATAAATAAACTAGAGATTTGGTGCACGAAATTCGTGCACTGGAAGGGGGGTCCCTCAGCCTGGCCTGCACAACTCTTGCAGTCCGGGAGCCCTTGGGGGATGTCTGACTGCTGGGTTA